CATATCTCCCGCACCCTTATAGCTATCGAGACGCAACCACCCTGGTGCACGAATGGAGACTTGGAGCTACTACCACATACAAACACCATTCATGTGCGATGTGTAGTTTTGGTGGAAAAGTGAAATATAGGGACACACACGTCCATTTATATATATATAGATTATAATAACATGACATCTATACTATTGAGTTAAAGAATTTGTAGATTTTTAGCTTTATCTAAAAAAAATAAATCAACATCATTTGTATTAGTAAGTTTCTGGTTGTGTAATTTATTTATTTATTTATATATTACTGTTTGTTCATTGAAATAATGTACATTCTTTATGAAATTTTGTATTGAGTAATAATAATAATAATAATATGTAAACATAGCACCTGCACCCAGAAGACATGGTAATGTTCGACCACCAGTAGATTCATCAACCGTATATCAGACTGCTGTTGGTGGGCTCAGCATGACTGGTTGTTTGGCAGATTTTTCTCTTTACATTTTTCATCCTTATGGTGGAGGGAAAAAAGCTGGAGCATCAGGTAACATATTGTGTTTTAGTATTATTGAATTATAAAGTATATATATTATTTTTTTAAGTAAGTACAAACTGAGAGATTACTTAAGATAAATTACAGAAAATGCTATTTTAAACTGTTAAATACATTGCCAATATTTAATATAAAATTACATTTTATATTAAATATTTAATTAAAGCATAATTAGTAAGTAATAGTGTATTATTTTCAAACTAATAAATATAACATATTGCTTTTAAGTTAGGTATTTTTTTTTTTGTTTCTTGAAGATTTATTCATGTTTCTGTAATAAGAATCATTATTATTTTCATATAAATTAATATTATATTAAAATTTCAAATTTTATTTCAGGAAAAGAAAGTCGAGAAACGTCACCTCTCACTACTAGTGAACGAAAAGATTCCCTTAGTTTGCAAGTGGAATTCGTAAAAGTAAATATTTCTCGGAGTAGAAAGATTAATTTAAGTCATATAGAAGGAAATGTATCTCAGAAACCAAACAGAAGTGGTGATTCTGGAGGAGCTGTCATTAGATTTTCAGGTAAATGCAGTTTATCAAACTCTATGAATATATCTTACTATTATGTACAGTATTTAAGAATTTTAAATATTTTGTATTTTCATATTTTTCATTCAGTATGCATTCTTGATTTCAGATATATTTTGAATAAAGTTGAATATTATTTGCAACTAACAATTAATTAATATTTAACACTTCTTAACACCGAATAACTTTTAAAGAACGTAAAACTTTACTATTACTTCTGGGAATATAAAAATAACTAAACAAAAGATTAAAGCAAAACAATGATGTAGTTCTTATTAAGCATTGTCAATTTATTATATTTGTTATTTTTCAAAGCTATCTGTGACATTGGATCAGCTTCCTTTAAGTATGACATGAGACGTCTTACTGAAATCTTAGCATTTCCTAAAGCTTGGTATCGACGGAGTATTGCAAGACGAATGTTTCTTGGAGATCAAAGTACAAGTGCTCTGTATAGTGATCAAGGTAAGAAATGTTGCTATTTAAATAAATGAGTGAGTAAAACTTTTTTTAGTTATTTTTAAATGTGTATCACATTTTCCATTTTCTTAATCCTAAATGACAATAATAATTTTTTTTTTTATATAGTGAAGTGTATTACAATATCAAAATCAATTATTTATTCAATTTATAATTTTTCATTATTATTATTTTTTTTTAAATACAATCTGATGTAGGATTCTGTTAGGCATTCTAAAATGTATGAATACAAATGATATGATAAACTGATTATTTTTATTTTCCAAGAGTTTTTTAATATAGATAATCTTAAATTTATATTGACTACTACATTAACATTTAATTGAACTTGAATTGAGAAAAACTTAATGCAATAAATTAAATAAAATTATTATATTTTTGATTCTATTTAATAGAAGATTCAGTAGAAACAAGTAGTAGCAGTGGAACATTATCACCAAGTGCTAGCAGAGCAGAATGCTTTCCCTTCAGTTCTCCTCGTGTATCTACTTCTTCCCATACATCCATAGGAACTACACAAATTATAGACAGCTCAATTTCGGTGACCACACCTATCAAGTCAGAATTGCAGTTGCCATCACAAACAATGGATCAGTCAATGGGTGATGTAAAAATTTCTAATCTTGGAGTTAGTTCTTGTCTTTCTGATGTGTCAGCAAGTGATATTTCTCACCCAACAATTGTTCCTGAAGGAAGAAAGCATAGTAGAGATCATCTATGGTTAAATTTAGGCAACATACCAAATTTTGTAGAAAGTTCTGGTACATTCTATTTTTTGTTATAATTGAAAATAATTAGAATAAAAGAACTTTATTCATTTTAATAATATACAATTTGTTTTAGATTATCAAAATACTAGTAAGTTAGGAAGTTCAAATGTTTCATTTACTGATTCTAAAGAAAGTAAGTCGTCACAGCAATCATCAACCCCATTACATACAAATCGTTTGGGAAGCACATGGGAAACACTAGTATTATTTGCTGTAAATTTGTCAAAGTTAAGTGTTCATATGAATATGGGAAATGTTATGGGAAATACAATGTAAGTATTTAATAGCTACAATTTTTTTAATATGTATTGTATATATGTACATGGTAAATATGTTAAATCTCAAATCAATTTTATATTATTTTAGAATATTGAAATTAATAGTGGATTTGCATATTCAATATAATAAATTTTATTTTATTTGATTGATCTTGGTATATTAATGATGAAAAATTTTGATATAGAAGAGAATTTCAGTTTGCAAGTTTTTGGATCCTGATTTGACTTTAACTTAACACTTTAGGAATTCCACTTTAAGAATAACTTAAATTCCTAATTTAAAAAAAAATTAAATAATTTAAACAGAAAAATTTAATAATGGTTTCAATATGTGTTTTAATTAATATTAACAAAAATATTTATGTTAAATAATCAGATAATACAGTGGGTGATCGGTTAACGAACATAATCCATTCCAAGACTTTGTTCGTTATCTGAATTGTTCGTTAACCGATTATTGATTTCCCATAGGTTTTTATAGGAATTTGATTAATTTGTTCTGGAGACTCCAAAAAATAAAAAATATATACTTTTTTACTACATTTATTTACATGTAATACTAAAAATACATATATATGCAGTCTTGCATTTTTATTAGTCATGTTTTTTCCGTTTGTGGGGGTTAAAGAATCTGTCCAATGTCGATTGTTTTTCTCTTTTCTTCAGGATTTTTTGGAAGTAATTAATAGTATTATAATTGTAGAGATCCTCAACCCCATTAACCTTATTCTGGTTTGGATGCCGCTTGGATGATCTGACATCCTTCCACTTCTTTAAAAGATCTTTAGTAGCAGATGTTGACTCTTTCGTCTTCCTCTTTTTCAAAAGAAAACACATCTCACTGAGTTTCTTGGTGTTGTTCATTTGAGAGTTCTTGGAGTTCTTCTGTCGTCAGACCAGTTTCAGGTTCCATTATGAGCTCTAAAATGCTCTTTATTTCTCAGATGTGATTTTCATTACTCCATTAGCATCTTGAGACTTCTTATATATCTTTCATAGCTAAGATTGTGCCTACTGTAGACCTGTTCAAGCCATACTGCCTAGCAAAATCAGACATCTTGTGCTCACTTTCTACCTTGGCTATTATCTCTTACTTGGTTTCTATGGTGAGCACAGTTCTTGACACTCCTCTTTTTAGGCATCATAATATTATCAGTTTCTTTTTTAAATAAAAAGTTCAGAAAAGCACTTACACAAATTCAGAGAACAGAAATCAACTAGCCCACAAAAAATTATTTAAATACAAGGCCCAGATGAAATTCGAAATTTGGTATTAAAACGTTAACAAATATCCTTTCACCTTTCGTAAATAAACCCCGACGCAAAATTTAACAAGTACCTGTCTGACAGTCTTGCGAAGACTATAAAAATTATTTGTCAGAAAGGTAAACAAAAAGCTGGAATTACAAGGGTAAGTTTCAAAATGTGGAGGAATACTATCTGATCAGTATCGAGTTGAGAGTCGATGTTATGTCTCCCGCACTCCAAAAGGTTAAGAATTGTTACCTGAAGACAAGGGAAAATCAATCGGTATTCATTATTTTCCGTCGTTTCTTTTTATGTTTATTCAGTAAAGTGTTCGTTATCCCAACATGTGTTCGTTGTCCGATCATAAAAATCTTTCGCAAAAGTGTTCGTTATCCGATTTGTTCGCTATCCGAACTGTTCATTAACCAGTTACCCACTGTATTTGTAAATGTGAATTAATATTGATGTGTTAAAAAAACAGTTTTTTTCAATATTATTTTGGGTTATTCTGAAGATTTCACAGTAATAAATAATCAGAAATTTAAATTAATTGCATATAAGACTATGAGCACTACTTTTTGGATTTACATTTTTGGGATTTTCACAGATGAGATATTATGATTACAGTACAAATATCACACACTATTGATGTAGTTGGAGTAATCACACAGAAATCGATAGACACAGGTTTATTATGATGATGGTAAGGCATTTCAGACAAGTTGTCTGTCCCTCTTCAGCTGTATTTGTTACAATTTGGTGGATATACAAGCAGTTTTTTGGTTATAAACATTTGGGGTTTGGATTAAAATAGTATAAAATGTAATTTTGTACTATTTTAATCCAAACCCCAAATGTTTATAACCAAAAAACTGCTTGTATATTTTTTGTAGATGCTTGTATATCCACCAAATTGTAACAAATACAGCAAAAACATAAAGGAACATACTATTTTGTTGCTAATGTGTGGATGATGTCATTTTCGGGATTTTCACAGATGAGATATTATGATTACAGTACAAATAGCAACCAGAGATTATAATTGTTGCTAAGGAAACATATTGTGAAGTAAATACCACTAATCACAAATATTATAAGTGATAAGTGAACATAATACAAAGCTATAAACAAGATAACAGTTAAAAAATAGGAGCTGTATTAAGGAAGATTACATACATTTAAGCAGTCAGTCAGCTCATACAAACAGTGTTTTCCACTACAGAAGTGATGCAACTATAGGGTGGTATCTGAGTTGGTGATATAAGCATTATCTGCTGGGTAATGAGTATCAGATGTTTAATTATAGGTGCCAAATGGGGTCTAGTTGTACCCCTGTGTTTAGTGCTCAAAAATTAGTGCTCATACTCTTATGCAACATAAGGACCAAAAGAATTCACATATTTAAATTAAGTGATTCAATGTCAAAAATTGAATTGAGTAAAATGAAGAAAATATAAAATAAGACAATTATTGATTTATCAACAAATTTTGAACTGTATTATTTTTAAAACTTTACAAAATACTTTATTAGAAGATGTCTAAAAAACAACACAGGCACTTTTGAAGATACAATTTAACTTCAGGGACACTCAAAATATTTGTGATTATAAGCTTATAAACAATTAGATTGTTTTAATATTTTACATGATTTTAATGAAGCTTTTTGTACCTTTTGTTAATTATATCTCTACAGTTTAAAATGTTCTACATTTTTATTTGAAGAAATAAATATTGCTTTGCCTTGAAATTACAAAATTGCATTTATGTATGCATTTAATCTCTAAACCAAAACGAAAATTTCAAATCTCTTATACCATAACTATGATTGTGAGGCATAACAGTATTTGCACATATTATTTTTAGTAATTTGGAATTATTTATTGTTATATTATTAACTAAATTTATAACAATGTTGAAATTATGGAGAGATAAATAAAATTAATATATATACTTTAAAATTATTAATTAAGGTGGCTGACAAGAGACTTCAAATCACAGGGTCGCTTATCAATAGGTAGTACAGGGCATAAAAACCTTTATTTGTCCATTGGATTGGAAGGTTCAACATTAGACAGCAAGGGAGGAATTGTTGGTGGAACCATTGAGCTTAGTCAAATAGATACATGCAGTAAGTATCTAATTGAAATATAAATAAATAAAAAGCAAATAGTTTGTTATCTTATAGAAATAAATAGCCAGAAATTATACTTTGTTACTAAAGAAAAATGACTACAAATTTAGTTAGTCATAATGTTGCAATAAGAATTGAGCACTGTAACAGTAGTATTTATTAACAAATCAATATTGAAAATTAAGAATTTTGTAATTCAAGATTTTAAGCTAGTAAAATTCTAGAGTAAGACTTACTTTACTTTTCATATTTGCAACCTAATCTAATACTGGATTACAAAATTCTTGAATTTTGAAGAGCTATGTTACAAGTTCTCCAATTTGTCCAAATGCATCATGACATATTTGCACAAATTGTCACATGTAAACTAAGCACATGATTTCAGTTTAGTAGATAATTCTAATGATAAAAGAAACTTTAATAACTTTGAAACAGAAGTATTATTAGGATTAGTTTTAAAATATCAAAATGTATTAGAAAATAAAAACCAAATAAAGTAACAAATGTAGAGATGAACATAAATAACAAATATAACAGTTTCAGGAAATTGTAAAACTAGAGAATTGTGAGCAATTATTATTTTGTTACATAATCTTAAAAACTAAAACAAATAAAACTTAAGTAAAAGAAAAGAAAGACATTTTTAGAAACTAAAGGTTCAGTGATGATGTAATTATGATATTTATTGATGATTTATGATACAGCTGTTTACATTCAACTTTTTGCAAGAGCTTAAAATCATTATAAAAATTGAATACAATTATGTTGTTCTAAAAATAATTCAAATAGCACATGTATTAATCTGTAATTTAAGAATTAACTTGCTATTTTTAGTTATATTGCAGTTCATATTTAAATCTTACTCTGTTTAATTTGGGATGCTGAATATGGGCCATAAAATTCTTAATGATTTACTTAACTTTCATAAGGAATTAATATCACGGATTAAAACTTATATAATTAATATAATTTGCTTGTTATTTATTGATAATATTTGAACAGTGTAACATTTTATGTGTGATTTTAAAAAAATAATATACACAATTTAGAAAGAATTTTGAAATTTATGAATAGTATATGAATTTCAAGATATCTGAAATTCAAAAATATGCAGGTTTATAAATATGGTTTTCATGTATTTCTTTCCCACAATGTAGAGAAATCATTACTATATCAATGCATAAAATTGAAAAAATTGAATCACTATACATTTTGTTTTCAATTTAGTCTGTAATAATTGACTTTTTATTAAATGTTCTCCTTCTTCTCTATACAACTTTAATTCCTAATATTATCATATTTATTTGGTATAGTATTTTATTACTTGTATTTTTAATATAATCTAGTTTATTTCTTATTTTATGTTTTCAAAACATATTTTACATGCTCACAAAAATGTAAGTACTGTATATTGCATTCTCAGTGTGACAGACTAATAGGAGAAATGAATGTCCATTAAAATTAGGTGTTTATAATTTGTTAAAATGCATTAAAAACTCATAAAAATACTTTTTTTTTTATAGAAGACTTTATAATTTGCTTATAAATATATGTAAGTTTTTACATTTAAATTATAAGATGGTAATGTAATATTTTGAACTTTTCTTTGTAGTATATTTAAAAATATTTAATAAAATATTGAAAACAAGGATATAAATTTTTATTATATTAGACATGTCTATTGCATATTTTACAGATGTTTTACACATTTAGAAATTTCTATTATCAGATAATTTTATAGTTAGTTTGTAATATAAACTATTTATTGGAAATATAAAAATTTTTTAATAATACTGTATAGGATTCACATCATTAATTGAACTTAAACAGTCACTCATTGGATATGGTTACATGAAATCTCAAGTCATCAGTTGTTAAATACAAAATAATCTACATAAAATATTCTTTTTTACATTATCAATTCTTGCTTTCGAATTAGTGTGTTTACAAATTTTATGCAAATAGACAGAAATCTAAAAGATTCATTCTACATCCTTAAAACAATAATTTAAGGAGTATGATTTTATGATTTTGTTTAAGATATATAGGATCTTTTCAATGTATAACATTCACTGAATGTGTTGTATGGTTGGGAAAGTAAGATGATGTTTGTTTGTTTGTGCTAATCAAATAGCCTAAAAGGAAAAGTCAGGCTTCATGAGAAGTATTTTGGAATATGAAAGTGAATAAACAATGACTGTTTCAACAGACTTTGTCTTTGTTTTTAATTAATTAATATGCAGAATTTTCCTAAAGAAAACTGAGATACCATTAGTTAAAAAAAAAAAAGACTAGGTGACTAAGTCTGCAGAAACATGTTGATAAACATTCACAAATGAGGTGAAAGTAAGTTTTTCCATAGAAATGACATATAGCTGAGGAAGAAAGTTTAAACTGATACAGATGTTTACACAACTAACAGAAAGCCTTCACAGTGCCAGCAAGAATTTGAATCTGAATCTTACTGAGAATAAAAAGTTCTTTTATTCATTAGAAATATAAACATATAAAAAGATTTTTGTTCTGCTTCTGATCAAAGGTTTTCCATCAATGATTTAGATACTAGAGTGAATTTAAACCTTCTATAAAAATATTATTGAATATAAAAAAATATCAAATCTCTAAAAAATTAGAAGTATTTAGCTTACACATTGCTCTCTATATCCACCATTATTCATTTGTCCTTTGTTAATTTCATGAATAGAGTTAGGTAGATGAAAATTGAGACCAGGTATAGAGATCTTAGGGACTGGTTGCCTCAATTAACTATGGTATATATAATAATTTCAATTCAAAATTTTTCCTTACCAAATTTATCACCTTATATATTATAGAATTGATCCTTGTGGTAAACTGAAATCAATAATAACTCAACCCTCTAAGGTATGCAATATTCATATGAGCTCATATTTTCTGTAATAAAAGTCACTTGAAAAATAACGTTGTCATATAAAAAAGTAATCACTGTTTCAAATTCAGTGTCAAAAGTTGTATGAATTACTTGAATTAAAATATGATTAAAAATTTCAGCTCAGCACTGTGAAGATGTCACATTAAGTAATTTCAATTTTTTGTTATATAGCACTTTAAATATTTACTTACAGCACATTTCAAAGAAGATTTTGGTCAAGAACCAGATCATACAATAGCCATAAAACTGTCTGCATTAGAATCAAGATTAGATTACATGGGAACCAGTGTCCTTATGGGTCGTGTGAGTAGTTTGGACATAACAGTTAGAGATGAATGGCGAGTCTGTCAGAGTAGTCATCAAGATTCTTTTTCAAATCATCCTACAAAAAGGTAAATTATTTTGATTTAAGAATTGATATTTCATTTTTATGTAAAACTTAATTTGTTCTGTGGAAGTGTATTTTGGAGTTTATTATTATGATTGATTTATTCATGTTATTTTATTCTCTTCTGTAATGACAAAACAAAATTTTTTGTTTTATATAAAAAATTTGTTGTTTAATTTAAGAGAAAAAAATTAATCATATAATATAAAATAAAATTTTATAGAATGTGCAGGAAAATTTACTGTAATTTTATTTAAATATGTTTCAAAGAATTTTTTATTGTGTGTGCTCAATGTTAGCTCCATTAATTCACAAACTTTTTGTTGTGTTGTGTTTGTGTTCTTGTGTTGTACAGTTAGTCACAAAATTAATTAGAGTTGTATTGGCCAAATTTTGCATAGAAAATAAAGTTATATTACTTTGACTTGTTTAAATATCAAATTTAACTTTTAATTTCTAATTATTGAATTCTTTTTTAAGATTATGAAGATATTATTAAAGATTTAAATATTAGCGCAATAGAAGTTAAATTAAGTTGTTTGAAACAGAATATATAATTCAATACATATTTTCAAAGTTGTATAGTTTTTATTTCTTAATTAAATTACTCTTTTTTAAAGATCTATTATAAATAATTTATTAAAGATTTTTAACATAAAATGTTTATAATAATTGTTCTAAACTTAATTATTTATTTCTTTTGTGTACTTTAGACCCGCATTAATTTACATATGTAGTGATTTAGCATGGGATCAGTTACAATTAATTATATCTAAATCAACTACACCTGATCTTTTGAAAATGTATTCAAAATTAGAAGAATTTTTTTCACAACAGTTTCATAGCAGTAAGAGAGTTTTTTCATCTCTTCAACCACGTTATCAACGTTATTCCATTAAAAGTCGTACTCGACGTGCCAAACAAACTGAAGGTGAGTGACTGAGTGATTCTAATTATCTGTAATTATTTTACGTATAAACTTTAAATATTTACATTATGTCTCAGAGGGTGAAGGTCGTCATCATCGTCATTGGCAGAAAGTTTTGAAATTAGCATCAGCTCTCCATTTAAACAATTTACCTTGTCCTCTACCAAGAATGGGAACTATATTGGGAGGAACAATAGATCTGCATGGTAACAATATATCATTAGCATGCTTTCATGGTGTCAATTTTCGTTCGAAAGCATGGGCCATTTTTAGTATGAGAGAACCCACTATTTCTTTTGCAACAGAATCACAGGATATAATTAATGATCAAGGTATGTTTTATTTTAATTTTACCTCTGAAAAATTCACTTAAAAAGTTACTGCATTTGACAGTTTAATACACTGTATATAATAAAATATTATTTGAAATGTCAATAAAATCAAAAGGTATGCATTTATGGAATAAATCTAATGTATCTTTTTAAAATCATCAATTTCTTATGAAAAACCATCTGTAATACAATTTAAATCACAGTATCAAAAAAAACCAACTCCAAAATTTTACTATTGCATATCGCTCACAGATCACCTGAAAGAAATAACATGGTTTAGCTAGCAATTTTTATCTGAAGTATGCCAGCTGAATTTTCATATAATGGAGGAATTTCTTCAATGAAACTTTGCATAGAATGGGCACTAGAAGGATTTGATATGTAAAGCCATATTTTACTTACAAGATAACAATTTGATATTTAGCTTTGATCAGAATCTAGACCAGGGATTCTTAAATTTGGCTATTAGGGTATAACTTTTCACTCACTAAATATCTTAAAAAAATGTCTGAAATGGAAAATATTTCTGACTATCTTGGATAATAAAATTCTAAATGCAAAGGAATATAGATATTATTGCAAAAGATTCTTACATTTTCACACAAGTGCAGCCACAAATCGTTTTTTCTATCCACACACATGACCACAGAAAAATGTTCTCTGAAAATGCCTCATCTAGACTGAGAACACTCCAGCAATAATAGTTAACAGACTAATAAATCTAATGTTTTTAAGAAAAATTTATAAACAAAATCTGTCCCAATTCTGTTTTTTTTATTTAATTAATTAACTAAATCTCTGTGTTCAATGTACAACTTTAAACAAGTAATGATGATACAGTATTTTCATTAGATCTTGTATCAAATATAAGGACTGAATTTTCAAACACCAGCTTTTTTATTAAATAACAATAACATTGATTTTCTGTGGAAATTGCCTACTAATGAAAAATTTTGAGTAATGAAAATATATATTTTTACTTCTTAAAAACTGTTAATTGTTGTTAATACTATTATTTTTGAATATTTTTCAACTTTGTATAATTATTAGAAATGTTATAAATTAATTGTTTGGATCAGGAGATACTGAAATGATACTGTGGGTTCCCAGACGAGGTTCAAACTCGAGTAAACCGTGAAATTCTTGCACGACACGAGATGTAAACAACGAGACTCAGTGTGGTTCGAGTATGTGTCAACTATCTGTTAATGTCTTAGCGGAAAACAAACTCTAACACGAGTGCTCATAAACAGGTAGATCTTTGACACGCATGTTTATAAAATGTTGGCCAAGATAAACCTTTTCGAACAAAAAAATAGAGAAATTTTTGATAGGTGAAAGGTGAAAATGATCGTTAAATTCTTAGACGTCAAAAAATGGTAAATAACGGCCTGAGTTATGAGTGCAGGTGTTATTATTTTATAAACAGTCACCGAGCAGAGTCGACAAAGAGGTATCGGATGGAGCGACCCGAAAAAGTTTCGTCTTGCACCTGGAGACAAAGGAGAGACCAATCGGGAAGCAAGGAATGGGATGAGGGACCAATCCGAAATGCGAATAGTGCGGGAAAAACTATAAAAATCGGAACTTCAAGGACGAAAGAGAGTCTCCTCCGGATTAAGCCTACAGTGGTGATTTAAATTGTGCTGTGCATCCGCCGATCACCGAGGACGCCGCAACGAACTTCTACTTCATCCAGATATCTTTCTCGTCCGTCCGAACTGCGACCGAGATCACGAACTTTCGCCGTTCCCAGGAGCACCGAGATTTTGGAATTGTCCATTATCGATGTAAGCATGAATTCGAACAAATAAATGGGTTTTATCTTGTAAAACACTTGTTCATCATTTGCCTCCTTCGCCACCGCCTACATACACGGTTTCCCTTAGGCTCATTCTGACGTGAGATAGACTTTTTCCCCCTCAACGTCGGCAAACCTTACAATACAGTGTAATAATGATTTTATTGATTCTTTAAATTTATGAACTTGAATTTTAGATTCAATTAATTCTTATCATAAACATTCATTAATGAAAAAAACGAAACCAAAAATTGTTAGAAATATATAACAATTATAAAATCGGCAATTTTATAACTTATTCTGTTATTGACTTTTACTTAACGCTCCTGTTAAATTGTTGTAATGAAGATTTTGTGATACTTTCTTTGATTACTAATTCTGAAAAGTAAGTTATATAGATTTTTATTTGAAAATAGTTAATGCAATAAACATTATAAATATTTTTTTTCCAATTACAGTTCTATTACTATTATTTGTAACAATGTAATAAAACCATCTTAAATATTTAATTTCATGTTTATTTTTAATATTCTGTTTTGTTACTTATTTCAGATTCTATGGGCACGCACATTGTTCAAAATCTGTCTTTTAAACTTGGCCGAAATCTTGCTGAAACAGCTCAACACACCAGTATGGCCACAGTCTGTCGTATTTCCCGTAATGTTCTTTTTCCTCCTCAGTTTAGAACCATGCATGAATGGTTTCATTATACTTTTGCTACAAGTGAATTGGATGGTGAGATATTATAAAGATTATTATTTTTTAAAATATAAATTACTGTTAGTTATTATTATTTACATTCATTAAAATTAAAATATCTTAGATGTACAGAGATTTCCTCTCTTGGAGCATGAAAGAAATGAATCTGTCAGTTCTGATCGTCGTTCTTCAATATGCATAAAAGTTCCGGAATTTAATCATAGCATGGAAGTGATATTTAAATTACCCAGTCTTCAACTTCAGTTAAAAACAGAACATTTTCAATTAGCAAAAGGTCCTTCATTAACAGGTAAAGAATAATTTACTTAATTTCAATATTATATATGATTTTTTTTCTTCTTTTAAAATTAACAACAGCATATTGTATTTGAAGAAATTTAGTTAAATGTAATTTCTCATTGTTCATTTTTACTCTTTTCTAATGTTAATCATATAATTTATTGTTTTAATGTATGTAGAAAAGAAAAGATATTTATTAGAATGCTTTTTAGAATTATAATGAGAAAAATAATTTTTCAAAAATAATTAGAAAATTAATTAAAAATCTAATACTGATAGCAGATGTAGTACCCAAAGCAGGGGTTAATCTTTCATATTTAATTACAATGCGTGCTTTTTAAGTAAGTACCATTTTGATATTAAAAAAACACAAGTGCAATTTTTTTAATAATTTTATTCTTACATAAAAGCCTGTACCTTAATCTACTTTTCAACATAATTTCTTCCAATATTAAGGCATTTTTCATATTGTACAACCAGCTTTTGAATTCCATCCTCATAGAAACCTGCCACTGATTTATCAACCACTGCAGCATGGCATTTTGACATCATCATTGTTGTAGTGCTTGCTGCCTAGATGCTTTTTTAAGTGGAGGAACAAATGGTTGTCACTAGGTTCTAGATCAGTGCTAGATGGAGGGTGATCAAGTTGTTCCCAGCCATTGATGTGATAAGGACTTGGGTTTGTTGTGCCATGTGTGGACAGGCATTGTCATGAAGCAAACAATCCCCTTACTGATCTTGCCACGCCTTTTGTTTTGGATGATGAAATCATAAAGCATCTGTTTTCTCAAACTTTTGCATCAACTTTCTGCACCAAGTCTTCAGTAATAACAGACAGTTGCCCACTGTGCTCTTCATCATGGACATTAGTACGGACATCTTTAATTGTTCTAACCCATATTCTTATCATTCCATCGCTCATAATGTTTTTTTTATACACCTCACTAATCTGCTGATGAATGTCAACCGCTTTCACATCTTTTACGTTTAAAAAAAATGAATCACTATGCGTACTTCACAGTCGGTGCGATTTTCAATTGTCTGAGGCATTTTAAACACACACAAACAAATGTAAAACAAATGAATGCTTCTGTAATGGTGTCTATGGTTAGCCAACTGATGTAGGTAGATACTCAGTGCACATTTGCGGAACACCAACCACAGCAATGCAGCGGCCCTATTTTAAAATGGTACTTACTTAAAAAACACGCTACATATTTGATTTCTGTAAAAAATTGCTATTTTCTGAAATTTTTCTGATGTTATTGTTGCTATATAACATTTTCTGCCTGGTGACATTGTAGCAAATTTTTTTTTACATAATTTAGTCCCTCCAGAAAATATTTTAATAAATAAATTTTTATGTAGAATCATCTAAATAGGTGAATTTTATTAACATTTATATTTATTATTTAGAAAGAAACTAGAACTTTACCACAGATATTTAGAAATAACATAGCAGTTGTATAAATTAAATTTAAAAAATATTGATAATTTAATTTATTCTATTAGATCCCAAACCTACTGTAGAATGCAGTTTTGTTACAGAGTTTGATGATCATATATTTGTTGCTGTCGATGCCGATGCATTTTTCTTTTTACATGATCTTATAACAGCATACATAAAAGAGAAAGATGGTATAATTTGTAGTTTTAAATCTTTACTATTATCATTAGTGTTAAAAATGATCTGTACATATAAATATTTTTTAATAGTAAATTATGGAAAGACACAGTCACCAGACAGTGATAGGAAATGCAAAGTTTCTGATCCAACTGAAGCTTTGCAAAAAGATTGGAGAAATTATCAGTGTCATACCTGGCATCTGGAACCTACAGTCAGGTTAGATTTTAGAATATTTTTGTAATTTAAGTTCTTAAATGATCATTTACCCAATTTAGATAAAATATTTAATATATTCTATTCAAATAATACCGATGTAGTTGCTTCATTTAATTTAATTTTAAAATATTAAAATATACTTCACAATTGAAGTATTTATATACAGCTTGTAATAATAATAAAGTAGTATGAATAAATAAATACATAATAATTAGTGTTACTCTAATGTTCCAATGTTATAATAATGTATCAATTTAAATAAAAATCTGATTTTGTTTTAATTATACTATTTGATTTATTTGCAATGTATAGATAAGTTTATTACTAAATAAAGTATTTAGAATTTTTGATTTCGATAGAAAATTTTATTATAATTGTAAAATAGAAAAGAAAATGTTTCTTGCTCTTAACTTTATTCTAGTAGATACTAATTTTTGTCAACTTAATTTTTTGATTCAGGTTATTATCATGGGGTGGAAAGGGTATAGAACCTTATGGTGTCGACTATATTCTTCAGAAGCTGGGATTTGCTCATGCACGTGTCACCATTCCAAAATGGATGCAGAGAGGATGCATGGATCCTTTGGATAAAATTCTATCATTAGTTATGGAGAAAATGCTCATAGCATATCGTGAAGACAAAGATGAACAAGTATCTGGAAAGCGATAAGTTGAGTAACTTCAAAAATGTACAAATATCAAATATGTTTGTTTCAAACATGGTTATTAAAATTATTGTTGACAAACTTCGATGTTTATATGTTAAAATATCATTCATGTAAGTAAAATTTTCTATTACAACATCCCATTGAGAAGTACTTGCACTGAAAATGGATAAATAAATTATTCTTTTATCATTTAAAGAATAATTTTAAATATGGCATTTATTTTATCAAATGTACATCTATTGTTAACATGTTATAACAGAAAGATATGGTTCAGAAACTTAATATATTCAGATTTAAAATAGTTTACAAATATAAATTTACCATATCTGTGAAAAATCTTAAAATTATACCATATAAGAACTTACTCATTTTGTAATAAAAATTTGATAAATATGTGTAAAGCATTTGACATTTTCATAAAAATTTTCCCATAAAATTATATTTATGACATTTGTAGTTGTAATGCATTGTTAAAAATTTAAATATTTTACAATAAATTTTTGATGAGATATTCTCAAACATTTATGCAAACAAATTGTGGAATGTCAGTAGAACAAAACAATTTATTGTATCCTAAGATAATGCTGCAATTATGGCAAGTGAAATATAGCAGATACATTATCATTATCCTTATTTTTATCCTAGTATGGAAACAGCAACTCTAAACTTGTTGTGATGAGTTGAATGAAACTGATCAATATAATATATTTGCAAACTGTTACTTGTAAATTAAAAGTAATCACCCCTAGCATTGAATCATTTGTTCAACTAGGTAATGAGCCTGGTGATTCCATGCTCATAGAAGTCCTTTGGTTTTTGCTTCAGGAGTCTGTGACCAGCTCATACATTTCTGCATCTGAGGTAAAGTTGCAACCCTTCAGATGCTTCTCCAATTTACCTAACACACGAAAGTCACAAAGTAAAAAGCCCAAACTGTAAGGTTAGTATTGCAGAATTTTTCATTCAAAGTTTTCAATTTTATCACAAGTCACATTGGCAGTCATAAAAAAGGATCACAATGTCTGACAACAAGCTTCTGTGCTTATTTATGATTGCTGTGTGGCATGGTTGCACATTTTCATTCTGAATTCTGGACCTTTCACCATGCAACTGTCATGTATTTGATGATTTATTGGAAAAGAATCTGAAGGGATGCAGTTTTGCCTTGGATTCAAAGCTGGTCACAGACTTCCTAAAAAAAGATTTCTAGGAGCATGAAATCACCAGACTCATTACCAATTGGACGAATGATTCAGTGCTGATGGTCATTGCTTTTAACTTACAGGTAAGTTTTCAAATAAATTATATTGATTTGTTTTCAATTGATTCTCAGTAATAAATTTAACATCTTTTGTAAATATATATGTTCGTATAATGTTTTTTTATGTTGAAAACATATTTCAGTATTTAAAAACAAATGTATACATTTGACAAATTTCATTTTAACTTTTAGATATAGCAATTAATTTTTGAATTTTAGTATCATATAATTTTATTTCTTCTCTACAAAATCAGTTATTACCTTAAAAGTATTTTTGTAAATTTTGCACAACTACAGTATTGTGTATGTTATAAAAAGTATATTGTAAGTATTATTATTAGCAAATTAAATTATAAATTTATATTTACTGTATATACAAAAATGTTGTTGGATTACAATTTAGTCAGTCTGCTGCAGGGTTTATATACAAATTGTTACATTATACAGTGTTTTAAATTGCCTTTATTTCATTAATTCAAATAGAATTTTAAATTTAGAAAAATATTTCTATTTATTTTTATATTAGTTTTGAAATTCCATTTTCTTGAATTTAGTGATGTTTTTAAAATTATCTTTCAAAAATATTCTAAACATTTGAATTAATAAGATAAAGGCTTCCTTGTAATTTATGATATTGCCCAGTTTATATATATCCCCAAAATATTACTATGTAAATGTATATTTATATTTTCTTCTGCCTAAATTTACTTTAAGCTCCCTGAAGAGCAAATTATTTAAGTTAAGCTCAATTTCAAGTCATTTTTTCTAACATTCCATTTCTGAAATTTGTGTGATTACTGGTGCTGTGAAGGAATTATTATGGCACAAAGTATGGATATTTTCATTGTTGTTTATATAAATATATTTAAATATATATATATATTCTAGTCATGTATAAAAGATTTATCATCATCTTCAGTAATTGTAACTAGCTTGTAAAAAATATAAAATAATGATTTATTGCTATATGGTTGTTATAATTCTTTATAAGGCAATAAATTGCATGGCTACTGATTTTTACTTAATTCTAAATACTCAGTTTCGTAAGGCAATTATTAAAATTAATTAACATTCTTTATTTAATGCATATATTTTTTATACAACATTTTGCTTTGGACTGATTTTCTTTTCTGTAATTCTAATTCAAATAGTTACGTTTTTAGGTAAATTTATTGTTAAAATGTAAATGGAATAATAGGAGAGCTTATTTTTGTGTAGATTTATTTAAAAATAAAAATACTGAATCGAGAAGAATATTTTTTTCTCTGTTAATTGCTTTGTATCACTGTCGTTTTATGATCTGTATAAAATATGCAATATCTTCATAGCTCTTTGCTTATCATCCACATAGGATGATAAGTAAGAGCTGTTCCAAATTGTTAGTTTTATCAAAACTCATAGGTAAGTATTGTTATTGTGAGCTACATTGAGAACAATTACATTTTGCTACAAAACAGATGTGTAAAAGTTAATAATAATAAAATAAAAAGCCACGAACGGTATATTTTGCAGTATATTTCCAGTTATGCAAAATCATCAAACTGTAAATATCTGTGAATTTCATTGAAGAAAGAAAAATGCTTTAAAAAATTATTAGAAAGCTATTATTACTTGGTGGAATCATTGTTTTCCTTCAAATAATGAACTAATACAGAAATTAATATCACTCGCAGGCTGCTAAAGCCAACAAGGATGTGACAAAGACAAGATGTTGATCTTGATTCCACCAAATAAGAGTTTTCTAATGATTTTTTCAGCATTTTTCTACCTTTATTAAATTAATTAATGAACACAGATATCTTTAGATTCACGCGTGTACCGGTGGCCACTGCATAAAACTTCAAACGCTCATAACTTCTGATAGATTCATCTTTCAAAAAAATGTTTTAGATAGAAGTTTGTTTATTTATGATGTGGAATCACAATATGTAATAAAAAAAATGTGGGTTCCCATTTAAGAAAATAAATCCCATTTTTCATTGATTTTAGCGCTATTTATGATGAAATCGATAGTGCCATCCTGTGTCCGCCTTGATGCAGAACATTTATTCCGTAGGATACATATTTCTCGAGATATTTGAGTGACTAATTAAAATGGGGCATCTTGAATATTTCCTATTTATATTTCTAAATTGTATTATTGTTGGTATTTATAAAGTAGCATCCACGGTGAGATAATATTCGAAACCGTAATATTGTTTGGGAATTGCTTAGTCTGTTGGCCTAGATCAGGGGTGGCCAACAATTTTTGTCCCCGGGCCGAATTGGAAAGAAAATTTTTTTCACAGGCCGAACCAGAGGCTGCCCTAGGAAGATTTTGAGATGGTGCGAGATCTCATTGTGGTGTCACCCCGTAGAGACTAAATTGTAGATAGAGGTTACAGATACATTTTTCACATTATCATGCTTTATCAACATTCTACACTGTACAGTACATAAGAAATTTACAGTTGAGGGTTAACTCTAAACGCATAGTGAGTTGTTGACCTTTTTTTTTTAGGCGTCAGAATTTTTCATCGAGCTATTCGGACTTCAGTAGCTAATATTGAAAGATTAATCGCGGGCCGCATAAATTCATTAGACGGATGCCTTGCCTAGATGGTCCCTCGTCAGTTTTATCTAAATATATAAAATTACTTGTCCTGACTGTCACTGATTCATCATCGCCCAGAGCAAACCCTTGAACCTAGAGGTGAAATTTGGTACACAGTTAAGGTACATCATGAAAACGCACACTAAGAAGGGATTTTTGGAAATTCCCCCACGGGGGAAGAGGGAAAGCATTAAAGCTTAACCGGAAGTTACTGTACTATTTTAGATACGATTTTTTGTTTTTACGTTTAGTCTTCATTGAGTACTTAGGTGTATTAAATTGATAACATTTCTGACATTGTTATAAATATTTTCATATATTTCGATTTTTTTAACAGAATGTTCGAACCGTTTTAAATTTGAATTTGTTATTGCGTATTGGTTCGATTATAGAACGTATGTAAACGTTCCAGAAAATTGACCAAATTGAGAATAGTTCGTTTGATTCTTGGCAAGTCTCATTATTCTGAGCGGTAGGTGTTATATAATAATTACTATGGTTGTTGAAATACTGAATATAATTGGGTTTGCTTACAAAACCATCGCGGGCGAAGTCGCGAGTAACAGCTAGTCTATTTATATAACCCATTGAACGCGTGTCCGTCCGTCCGCGTAACGGTATGCCAAAAACGGGCACTAGAGGCGCCCTAGCGAAGTTTTTAAATTAACAATAAATTATTTTTATTTGTAATAGGAATTTATTGCTGATATGAATTTATTTATACCACGGAATGGTATAAATAATTATTATATGCCTTGCCTTATTATATGTCTTGATTAACCTTGCGCCGCACGTTTACAACATCCCGTGACTTAGTGAACGTCGCGCATTGACTCACGGGAAATTTGTTGAAAAAATGGCGAATAAATTTAAAATCGAGATTTACAAGCGAAGGTAAATAAACAAATTAAACTATTTTAATGTATTTATAGAATGTTTAATAGGTAGAAATCTAGATCCGTATGACGCGATTGGGACTTTAACAGAGCTGTAGAGCATATTGATAGGAACAAAAAAGTCAAAAGAACTGTGCCTCATGGGAATTTGTAAAGAACGCCCACTAGGAGGTGTCCTGGGCTACTAGTGTATATATATAAATGTTTGTGTCTCCCTGTCGGGCGGATCTAGAGTTTTCGGGGTCTAGGGCTTATTGAAGTCCAATGGGTCCCCATTTTTTGTTAGATTAAGAGTCTTTAAATTGGGGTTTAAAATTGCAAGTTGGTGACCTGACCAATTTCGTTACATTGATTACAATAAAACAAATAATACTATAAATTATCATTATTATTATATTATTAATACAGTATTAACTATTTTTTACTATACGATAAGTGCTCATTGTTAATGAAAAAGTATTAAAAAATTTATGACGATAATTCAATTTTTTTGGGCCCAGGACTCTGCCCTCTGTTCTTAGCTTTTTGATATCAATCTGTTCCAAATTATTCTTGCTTAATCCTAAAAACTCGTGGAACATTTTTATTTAGTTAGAGTTGAAATCCAGATAAAGAATTTGCCGTTCTGCGAAAAGTCGTAAGCCTGGTACCTGGTACATGCAGAAACGGTAAGCTGTAATTGTCGTTCCGTCGTCTTTCCACGTTGCATGTACTGTACAGTACTCACATTGAAACGCGCGCCATCTGCCAGCCGTAAATATAAACAGCTTATTATAGAAGGTAGGCCACGTGCCGATAGTCGAAAATGGCGCCGACCGGGATTGCTTTGTTATAGAGCTAGTGGAAGGAACGACGAAACTAGATCGAGGCGCCTCTAGCGGCGATGCGGGGAAACAAAATCGGGGCTACAAAGGTGGTATGTGCTTCTCCTTTTCGTGGCGTACGAATAATGTTTCTTAGAAGGCAGTGTGGTTTTGAAGCAATATCTACCGAAACCCTGAGAAAAATTAATTTAAAGAAAGGAGAGAAACTGCTTTTTACAATAAATATTAGTTTGGGTACCCCACATCATAACTTTTCACAAAATAAGACTGCCATATTATATGAACTATAATGTGGTCCCCATACATCAGTTTGTGTTCTAGTGTCATGTTTGGAGATCACAGGTATGGTTTCGGTGTCCACATCCATGCTGTTATACACGCTCTCCACCTTTTCTTCTTTCCTTCTTGCCTGCCTTAAAAACCTATCAGCATTTCCCCAACCCTGTTTCTTGTAGCATGTTGGAAAAAGTGTGGGAACATATGCTGGATGGTCTGGGTGGTCAATTTTCCGTCCACCTACAAAATGCTGACTGCAGACTTTGCTGGTACTTTGTGGGTTGCCAAGGTTTGCCATCTTTTCTGAAAAAGTGTTTTTAATTTTACATATTATATTACAATTATCGAGCAACTTTGGTCACTTTTTGACTAATGAATTACTTGAAATGATCTTTAATACTGTCCCGTGGCTAATAATGACATTATTAAGCATTTTTTCAATGTTATTTATTATCAGGATTTTAGATTTACAGAAATACGAAATGTTTTGGTATTTTTAACGAGTTATTACGCAATGCACTACGTAAAGAATGGGTAGTAATATAAAGCGGACTACACCTATTTACCGCTAAAAAAAAGCACCCTAGCCATTTATAGAGATCACTACAATTATACAATAAAATGCCTTTAAATGTCACAGTTATATATACACACACAACTTTAAAAAAATACCTTCAATGAAAATACCCAAGCATAATACTTACTCAATCCACCGAATTGCAGCCAGCCATTTCTCTTTCCTTCCAGGGTATTTTTCATTCGGAAACGAATAAAACTTTGTACTTGGCGGCGCAGTAATATAAGTAACACTACAACCGACCACACAACAGGTACTTTTTGAAGTTTTGTGTGGCAGAAAATTGTGGTTCATTATACAGAAAGAAAACAAACACCGTGTTTCACTATGTATCTAACCCAATGATGCACGTGTTTTCCCGAAAAAGTTTTCTTTGTCTGCCTACAGGTGGCGCTCAACTCAGTTCTACTAGCTCTATAAATCATCATAAATATATCAATTAAACGTTCTAAGTTCGCCTACCACCTTATCGCAAATAAAAAAACACAAAAACGAGGAATTTGGATAGGAAAAAAATATTCTAAATCGTTGAAAGTTATACTTTCGTACTCGAATTACGATTACGCCATTCCGAATACTTTACACAGTAAGTCTATTTGACATTAATTTTTCAATCGGATAGTAATATAGCGTGCAATGAAATATATTAGGGCTGTATAGTATTCGTAAAGTACAAAGTATAACGAACGGGTTAGTTAGTAGTTCCGACCGTAACTGTTTGTGGAAGTGTTTCGAAGCCCAGAACGACCCATCTCTAGCTAAACTCCATCTGTTGTGCGCCCAAGTTGTCTCGCTTACGCATTGCGCTCGAATGTTTTCAGTTTGTTTTTCCGCTTTATTGGAGTACAATTTGAAAAAATTGTAGACCTATAAATTCACATTGTCGTCCGCCCGTCTGTCCTTCTTTGATCTCGTTTTTAGTGTGTTATTCGTCGATTTTTAATAATTTCTTTGTTGGCAACTTCTGGGCACTACGTACGTTTTGTATCCTTTAGTTCAAACTTTCCCGAACGGAACTTTTTAAACCACATTTTACACGTTTGAAGTTTAGAAATGTCTTCCTCATATACATTACGGATTTTTTTCTTTTGTATTGTTTGTACGGCGTTATATCCTTTCCGAAATTCATAAAGCATAAAATGCAACATATGCTTTTCATCTGAAGACATTTCGACTTGATTTTATTCATACAAAATTGAAGTAAAAAGTTTAAAATAAACTTCTAAACAAAGAATTCAATACACATTAGCAGAGTTACATTTCACAGCTTTTAAACTTATTTGTGGATATTTATTCACAAATAAATATTCATAAATAAGTTTAGATTGCATTACAAATACTAGAAGAATGGTTGTTCCAGGTGATTGAACATGGCGAGCAAGCAAAATACGATTAGTATTTGTAATGCAATTTTTACTTTATTCAATTGTAATTTCCTCCTGCCTTTTTTTACAAGTTTAGATGCATGTTTTGAAAGATTGCATCTCACAAAATAATCGGTAGCCTAAAAAATAATTATATATATAAATTTAATTCTTGACTATCAGAAAATTAGCAAGAGAGAGAGAGAGAGAGAGTCAACAAAGGTAAATTACATTCTTTTGTGGTTTTATCTACCAATTTTAATTAAACTTTCAATCTACAAATCGGGATCTTTAGAATCGGCACTTTCAATGATGCCTTCGAGAGTTACCATTGGAACGGATAATGTAGAATTCCTCCTTAATTCTTGTATAATTTCTTTTTTTAACTTTTCTGATATTTCCAAAAACGCTTCGGAAAATTCGGTCGATAGTTTAGAAATTGCTTCTTGTTTCTTCCACTCGAGGTAACGTCGTCGCAACTGAATCACTAATTTCTAAATATTAGAAATAAAAATGTTTAAAATGTTAAATCGATATTCAATTATCTTTAAGTAGAAAATCTTACACAATAATTACACAATAAATCTTACATTTTGAAGAAGGAAATGTAATGTTAAAATTCCATAAATCGATTAATAAACAGATTATTTTTAATTCATTTCCGTTCGAGTTTATTTATGATTTATCACAAACACGTGATAAATTATATAGTCCATTATAGTCATAAATAAAAGACTATAATGGACTATAATAGGATGACCGGATGGTAATGGAGGGTGCCCGAAATCCATAAGGATTTCTAAGGATACGTATTAATCCCTTCCAACCGTTAAGATAGATTTATTTCTATTCATATAGCTATTGATAAAACATTTAATATAATATAATTCTTGAGAGAAATTTTACACAAATATTAAAAATAAATTTATACATTTATTGACAAAAGATATTAGGCACCAAGAAGGTGGCTTTAGAATCCAATGAAACCATCAGTGCTAACGTAATAAATGATTATAATAACAGCAAAGGGACAATTTCTTGTGAAATAACCTATAATTTAAAGTGTCTTTACTTTTAGTACCTTGTAGCAGACATGCTTTTGCCTGGATACATGCGGCGATACGATCGAGCATGAAGACGTACAGGCACTGTATGCTATCTCGCAATTGATTTGTTCATAGATGCTGCAAACGCCACTTCAGATGGATGTCTCATATTCGTAGATGGCCGAAGCTAGCGCCCTGTCCGGATCCACAAATACTCGATGGTCGACGAATTTTAAGACCGGGCAAGTCTTCAAATTCGTTAAGTGTGGCAACATGACGGATACTTTTTCTCTGAAACTCTGGCTGTATGCCATGTACAGTACGGGCTGTACCGTAAATCTTCGTATCATTACTAGATTATTCGATTGGTCATATCAGAAAGCCCTCCAGACTAGCATGCCAGAAGTAGAGACAGTGTACCGCTCGACAGTAAAGACGGGATTGGAGCACTCATCGATGGGACCGGAATTCGTTGTTAAAGATGACACGCTGCCAGTTCTTCAGCAATTCGTGCTTTAATGTCATGGCATCACTGCAAACGAAGCCGACGATGTTGGAGTGCTAATGGTGGCAGGATGCGTAGCGTCACAGTTGCATACAAATTTGCTTTTGCTAGTTCTGGTATTATTGATAAGCTGTCGCCAATGATACGGGAAGAGATAGAATTCTGTAGCGAGGTTTCCATCTGTCTTTAGATGGTGGACAAAGACACTACTTGTGCTCGTCTCACAATCACGCGATTATTTCTCTTGATAGTGTGTTCGGGACGTCCAGAATTTGCTCACTGTATTCACCGTCCAATACATCACAATCAGGTCGGAACAGTCGGATGGTGGGAAATTCGGCAAAACGACCATCTTGTTTTCCTCAGCCCGATGATGCAGCCTTTCTCAAACTCTCAGTTATGTCTAAAGTTAAGCAACTCATTGCTGAATTTTAAAAATAAATGTGGTGATAGTTTGAGAAAGATAATTTTCGTTTACCTCATTTTTATGCAATAAAGAAATAATTAATTCTAATTGATTTTAGAAAACAAAATTCGTTCTTTATCCGTCCAACTTGTATTGAAAAGATCGCAATTATGTTTAAATTGAAACACCCTAAAAGTAAAAATAAACTTTAAACTTTATTCAAAAGAGGAGTGACAAAGCTTGAATTTTAAGTTTGGTTCTGGATTCATTTATTATTTTTGGATAATATCGGCTGAATCCACTTGTGACGAGAATAAAGATTACTTTATAAGAATAAAATTCAAAATTAATAGACTATCGCTTGCTTTAACTAAAAGACAGATAGATTCAGCATTAATCCTAGCTTTATCCTTAACATATATATATAGCAGTATAGGCTATTATAATTTGCAAAATATATTTAGATTTATCATAGTATATTTTTAAAATTAGTAAACATTTTCATTAAATAAAATGACAAGCAAAAATATAATAATTATTATTATTTTAAATTTAACTAAATTTCGTAAAACTGAATGTAAAACTGAATTGCATAAAATGTAAAAGTAATATCAGCATTTTGATAATATTAAACGAACAGCTGGATTCGTTTATTGGGCTGTTAGGGCCTGATAAATTTCTTCTAGAATATTTTAACATTAATTTAAATTAATTAATTAATTTATAATTATTGTATTTAACAAGAATGGCAACTTAAGGCTTGCCTCCTGCCAATTGCTTAGTAATTGGATCCGATAAAGGAATTCAGTTGGTCATTTGATATTTGAAGTTATCGAGTTAGTTATATTAATCTTATGTGTATACTGTATATATGTATCACAGTTACTATTTGTTCATTCTATTTTATAATAGTTAAATATTTTTTAATCGCATATTAAGAATAAAAATGGCATAAAAATAGTTTTTCACCACATAAAACTTTAATTATTTCAATGAATTCATAACTATTTATCATTATATTTGATTTTTTATTGTTTTTCCCCGAGTTATGTTGTAATTGAAATGGCCTATTTTTTCATAATTTTCCTGACTGCACTGAACTTAAATTTTGTAATATCCTTATTTTCGTCATTCAAAAATACATTATATCCCAAATAAATCAAATTTAAAGGTTATATTTGTTTCTAAAAATAATTTTGAATATTAAAAATTAAAAACCCTTTAACACATTACTAGTGCATTTGAGATAAACTTTGATCAAGCGTAGTTTGCGTAGAGAAATGTAATTTGATCACAGTTTAAATGATTATTTTCTCATATTCCCTTAAAGAAACTATTCTATCCTTACTTATATCAAGAATATATGTTGTAATCAGTATATAGGATATAGTAGAAAATGTTTTTGAATGTTTTAACGATTGCAAAACAAAATTTGCACCAAAATTTTGCAAATTTTTAAAAGATAAGGATTGAATTCATTGATTTCTACTGTTATATCGCGGATTAAATTAGAAAATAACATAAAATAAGCATTTTCGGAATCTCATTAATGAATGTAATTATCTGAAGAATTTATATTGAAAATATTCTTTTAAAAAATCAAATAAATATAACAAATATTTTGTTAAATAAAGAAGAGAAATTAGATTTTAAAAACACATAAAGAAACTTAATTTACTAATATTTTACTTTCTAAATTAATTACTTTATTACAATGTAGATATTACTTTTCTGAATATGAACTGAAAATAGAATATCAATACATCTATACAGTATTTGTGTCAGCAGAAATTTCCCAATGTTATACAGTATTTAAAAATGATTTATCTACAATACTGTATTTCGCAGATTATGGTTCATTATGATTTGAAATAAGACTATGATTTAAAGATTATTTTTATGGGGAAAAATTTTAACTAATCAAGCTTATTAAGTTTTATTAATTAACAAGTTAGGAGCTGATTATCTTTGCCTATCTTATGGCATTTGTAGATTATATTTTTTCCGTTTTCATGTATATGCTATAACCTTTAATACTGTATATTAATGTTGTCTTAAAGGTATTTTAAACGTTAAAAAGGAGTTTGGAAGAAGAGAAGCAAAGTAACTGAATATTTGAATGATAATAAACAAAGAGAAGAATAAAAGACCAAAAACTTACTTCATACATCTCATCGCTAGTTTTAACTCTCATTGTATCTTCAGCACATCCACAGCATCTCTGAAACAATTTTTTTTTCACATAAATCTGAATTATGTCCATAATTTTTAATCATTATCTTTAAAAAGCAAGAAATCTGATAGGTTGGACTTAATACAAAGATTTACAATGTTACAATGAATTTTATTTAATTTTAGTATTTTTATTTAATAATTTCAAAAAGTTGTTGATTGATTGTTCTTTTTATTTATTAATGTTTAAAATATTCACTTACATTGCTATAATAAGTAGTAGAATCACTCTGATTATCATTTAATGATAAGGTTTTTCTCATAATTTTACTCAATGTCCATCGAATCAGCAAAGTTAATCGTCGAAGTGAGGGTAATAAATTAAAAGGCGCAGGAACAGTGTTTTGATATTCAAAATAACTCATCCAGAGGGAACTTCGAGCAAATTTCCATTCTATATCTGAATTATCCTGTGTGACATTTTTACATGAAATTTCCGAATTTATTACTAATTAAACATTAAACTATAAAAGTATAAAAACTTACTGACCTTTACTCGTTCGTAACTCTCTGCCATCATGGCGATCAACATGTTTAATAAGACTACTACCGTCAATAAATGATACGCTCCCCATAAGAAATAACCAACACTTTCGGTAAATACGTGTTCACGTACTTCTCTGTTAGTAAAATTACCCGTTACTATAATGTCCGCATCGTCAGATTCTGCTATACCAAAGGTAGCCCAAAATAATGTTTTGAAGGTATTTTTCAATCTGAAATACGCTGTTTGTGATTATACAACGATTAAAATATTAAAATATATATATTTACTTATAGACTTTAACTACTTACGTTGTAAAATTATCCTTTTGGATTTGCTTTTTGCCTTCTGTATCCAGCTGGACACTATCTTCGTAATTTTTATAGAGTGAATTAATACCAATAACGAACGATGACATCAAGATGAAGAACACCATTAAAAAACGCAAGACGTCATTAACCATATAAATTAGTGATATGCCCAATGGACCCAACTTGGACTGGACTTGATACCACATTAAAACTCTACAAAATGCTAAAACCGAAGCGCAGGCAAAAATGGCTTCACCTATAAGTAAAACGTGATACCAAGGCAATTGCATACGATCCCACGTCATGTCATGTTTAAAACATGACCAGATATATACCGAAACTGATATAGATTCTGATAATAAAAAGGCACTATGCATGATCAAATCGTATCTGTTCCACCAAGCACGCAAATAATCCGATATTCCCATGGACCAAACATTGATGATTACTTCCATAACGTAGCCCAAAATCCATATATCTGCAACGAGTCGCGGTCCGGAGAGCGAACGTATATCTTTCCTTTCATCCCATATGAGGCTAGCAAGAAGAAGAATTAAGAAAACGCTATAGGAAGCTATGGAATGAATAAAACGATTTAATGGCACGCGTAAAGGTTTGATAATCTTGGAACGTGGTAACAAAATATGGACAGTAGATAAGACTGGCGTTAGGAAGACTTGGGTAATTATGTGGAAGAGTCTTTGCTTGGTCGATAAATGAGTCCAGCTAAGTCCTTCTACCCACGTGGAATGTAAAACTTGTTGGCAGCTCGGATGTGTTATAAACTGTAAAACATTTTTAGTTCTCAAATCAGAATTTCATTACAAAGAATATTAAATGTTATATCTTCTATAATATTTACCCTTTTTTGTTTGTACTGTATTGCAAGGCAAAGTCTGCTGTATCTATGTGGTCTGATGTCTTTTAAACCTTTCTTTTGAACTAAAAGAAGTTCCACTTCTTCTGTATTTTTACACTGTTCCAAGAGATCGGCAGCAAACTTGGAACATTGATCAGATAACTTAAGGTAAACATCCTATAAATAAATTTAAGTTAACAGTTTCTCATTATTGTTTTCACACGGAAACATTAATGACAAGTAACTCACCTGGTGTTCGGGAAAATCCAAGGAAAGATGGTAAGTTTCACGACTGAGCTTAAAAGACGTCAAAATTGGATCTTTGGATGTCAAAACGATGTAAATGGGGCTAGCGAGTGCTCGATATGCATTAATTCGAGCTAAAGATTCTCCCAAAGTTTCGAACTTTTTGAAGTGATCCGTGCGACAATCCATACAAGTACCTAAAAAGACAAATATGTGACCGTGTTGATCACTTTTAATTAATACAGCTTCGATCTTTAGTTCTATATAATCAAGTAGTTTTCGTTTTTTCTTAAATATATTATAATTGGATCATCATTCTATTGGAAAAATACTATATTAAAAGGAGCAAGGAAGAGCTTTCAGAGAGATTGTACAGTACCTATAGAGAATCGAATCGGACCTTCCCAGTAAAAAAAATTCTACTTATTCAAACAATACATAAAGAAAAACGTTAAATCTTTCAAGTAAAAAACCCTATAAAATCATAAATATTTCTCGTTAAGATATATTTTAAATGTAAAATTATTATATAAAGTCAACTAAACTGAAAGAAAGTGCCATTATGAGATTATATTATTATTTATATTGTAATTAACTTATATATAAAATCTTAAAAATATAAAGCATTATCGCAATTTCTAAAGTATTAGTAAAAGCTAATACTCTGTATTTGTTTAAGATAAGCCGTAATAAGTGCATTTATGAGATTTATTATCTTTTGCCTCTTACATGTTAATTCATTCAAGTTATATCTTTTATTTATACACTTCTATCTGATCACTTAGGTAATAGTTTTTTAATCTTTCCTGGAGGAAAAGACATAATTTTTCACTTAAACTTGAAACTCGATCTATTGATATATAAACTCTATGTTAATTCGATAAAAAATGATGAATTTGACGACCTTTATTTATTATAGTTTCATGTAGAAAATATGACGTCAATATCATACTTTAATTCATTTTAAATGGCGCATCCCACTGAGAATATTTATTTATTCCTGTTGAGAAAGATTTATTTGCCATTCGTATATGGATCCGAATGAATGATTTTGAATAAAATTTTCATAAAATATTCGTTTGGCTCTTTGTTTTCTTATCAAAATTAACAATAAATATTGCAAAACATTCGCTAAATCCATACAAACCTATATTATTTCGTCACTTTCATCTTACTACGATGTTACTATACCTACGATCGACTAATGTAAAATTCTATTCTTCTGTATTAACACGGAAAATATAATCTTATTTAACGATTTGTAGTAGGATCAGTTAAGATATTAACTGCTGTTAGAGTGATAATTGGTATCATTTATCTATTATCTGAAATTTAAGAAACTAATGATGATGATGATTTGTGTCAGTCTTGTGACTGGCAGCTCAGAAACAATTTCTTCCATTCTTCTCTATTATTTGTCTGCCTTTTGATTTCCAGTATGTGTTCATGCCTGTGCTTGCCTTCATCATTCCCTCTATAATCTTGGATGTTAAGTTGTGTCCAATTCATCTGTCTCTTCTGAGTTTGAGAGTTTTAATTAAAGTCCTAGAGTCATTTATTTGTTTTAGTATATCCTCATTAGTTTCTTGTCAGTCCTTTAATATCTTGTGTTTGTTTCCAACACCATATTTCGAATACTTGCAATCTCTTGATGTCTTTCTTAATGTTTTCCCACCATATAATGCCGAGTTCCATATATAAATTCGCAGGAGTTTTTTTTTCCTTAAGTTCAAGTCCATATAACTTACAAGTATTCTCTTCAACTTGTTAAATTGCACTTTAGTTATCCCAATCCTATTGATTACCGTATACACCTTCATGGTTCCTTCCATCTGCAATTATTAGACTTCCAAGGTATAGGAATAATTTAATACTTTTTTTGTTTCTTTCAGCCATGGCGAGGACTAAGAGGGTCTTTTTTCCATACCTATTGTGGGTTCGTCCAGATCCACAACGGGTGCAAGTGGGTAATGAGAGATAGGCCTGACACATCCTGGACAAACCACCCCAAAAAATTCTGTGGAGTTGCTTGTCCGGATTCGATTTCGGGTTTCCCAAAGTTTTAACCTAATAGTCGAACCATTAGGTTAAAGTATCGTTGCAGTTTTCTAGTGTGCCACAACGAAACTGCAACAACGCTTCGAGGATGAGGCAAAATAAACTGCTGAAGCACAATACACTATTAACATTACTTAAAGTGCGAAAAGTGCTATAAGTATAATGAAAATGAGCAGGTTTGGAGTGCCACTATTAGAAAAATGTTGAAAAACACTGCCATAATCGCTTCAGCCATGTGGATGTCTATTTACAACGTTTCTTATTCGCGCATAATTGTTGACAACTGACTTATTCGTGGGAATTTTAAAACGAAGTTTCTCGATTTAAAAAAAAAGTATTTTTATACTTTATCAACACAAAAATATATTTTAAAATAAAATGACCAAAGTCCAGATTATACTGGACAACTATCCGAGATTATTAAATCAATTAAACTGATGGAGCATTGAAAAATCAGGTAGAGACAAATTAAGGCAATTCAATTTTAATTGCCAAAATTAATTTTGCTAACAATTTATGGAAAATTCTTAAATTAAGTACCAACAAAAGATGCTTAAATTTTTTGATAAATATGCGACACGAATATTACTTATATTTTTCTAAATACTATAAGTGAATAAATATAATATACGGTATAAATTAGTCGAAATTTTTAAGCATTGATATTCTTCAATTTCGATCACTTATTTTAACATTAATTAAGAACGTTAAATATTAAATGAAAACATCAAATTAATAAAATTAATTTGTTTTAGAATCTATTATTTATTATATAGAATGTATGGCATGCAAAATAACCCGAAATACCGGTAAAAGTTTTTTTTTTTTATTGCGTTTTTATAGCAAAAATGCGAATTCATTTCTCAATTTCTACTCTTTTTAACCCTTTCAATAAGTAACCAAATTTAATTAAAAACCTCTTCCATTACAAAATTTATATACAATAACTACTTAATGTAGAAAATTTTGCTGCAAATAGCTATATAGCCATTCATTAGAATTGTAAAAGTAAATAAATAGGCATTACTTCAATTTTAATTAAATATTACTGTACTCAATTTGCACCAATTCAGAAAATGAATTATATAAAATGGACTTATTTCTCCATTTTTTTTTTCACCGAAGCTACTAGGACCACTGCAAGGGAGACGTAAGGAATTGCATTGTTTCGACAATAAATTTTATATAATCACAAGTTTTAGATTTCGTACTGAAAATAGCTCTTTAAAAAAAGATAGTACCGTCTATCCGGCTAATTTAAAAATATCAGAGCGTATTTTTGTTTGTTATTATAAATCTGTTTCCGTATAAAGAATCATATTTATAGTAACAGAACGAAATGATATAATATAAGCATAACTTGGACTAATGTTAAGTATTTATTCATATAATAATCACCCTAAATTTCGGTCCTTATAGAAACATGGAGGTCTTGTCATACGTTAATTGTGATAAATAGTGAATACTGTATATGATCCAATTATCGATTTATATAGGAATACTTGAAGTCTAAAATATGTATTTATTATATAGCATTTTATAGTGTTATATTTTAATACAGAAACAAATTGTATGCAATAAAAATTTCAAGAGAGAGAGTAATTTTAAATCATCACATCAAATAGATTAGAAATATTGAAAGAATTTTTGATATTTTTAGATTGAAAACCAAAAACAATGTTAGGATATATTATTATTATTAATTAACTAGAATTTTCTTCGTAATGTTTAAGAGGATTTGCCCTTTTAAATAAAAAGAAAATTATATAATTAAACACTCACATCTAGGTAGATGAGGTTTTTCGACAGTGTATCCATGATGTAGTAATAACCTGGTAATTTCAAAATTTTCATTGATAGCTGCAGCCATAATGGGAGTTATTCCTATATTTCCCTTTTCCACTTTATCTTTAACTTCTTTATTTTCATATCTAATTTAATAAAGTTAAAATCCAGGTTAAAAACTTATGATAACACTTAATTATCATTATTATAACGCTTAAATAATTATTTATATATGATAATGTATTGTTATAATTTTAAAAATCTATCTTTAGTAAGATCTATTAATATTTTCTGTTAAGATAAGAAGGGGATATACAGTACTCGATTTAGAAATGCTGTATTTTTATTAACAAACCAATACTTCCCGCATTAAATTCAATTAAATATTCATAGTAACTTAGCTTTCGTGTCCTAAAATTTATATTTGTATTAATTTAGTACAACGACCCGAGATTTTTTTATATTGATAAAAAAATTCACTTCAATAGTTCTCACTTGTTCTGCGTGACGAAATGTAAAATTAACGTGTGCTATGTATATAGAGTCACGCATGAACGGAACGAGTTTTGCAACTTTATATTCTAAAACGTCTACGCTTAGACATTAATGAGAGAATGTATTCGATATTTTTTAAATATCTTACTCGATTATTAGTCTTTCCACCACGGAAACGTCATTTTGATCGATAGCTCGTATCAGAGCGCCTCTAAGATGAGCGGGACTGAATTGACATATGTTTAATAAACTGTTAACGAAGTTTTCGTCGCGAGAAGTCACAGCTATATCCAACGCTCTGTATCCTCTACAGTCGCAACAATCCATATTCATAGATGATTTCTGTGCCTACAACGAGGTAAATATATTTAAATTTAACATATATGATAAGAGCGCGGTTTAATAAACGTCTATTACTTACATCTACGAGTTTTTTTAAACTGATCAAGTCGCCATTTTTGATTAAACTGAGGAATTCTTCTTCGTAGATACTTAAATCCTCATCTGCCAAACAACTTTTTGCCTTATTCAGCATTAATTTCTTTCTTTCACGTTTCGCTGTGTCAGCCATGCTGTGTTGTTTCAAGTCTAAATCTACACTGAGATGACGTGTTAGATAATGCTATACTGTTCCATTTCCTGCAATTACATCTCTTTATATTGTACACATTTCATCGAAAGGAGGAGGAGCTCCGTTCTGCATATTCTACCAGAGGCGACGTCGTTAACGTAATACTATTTCGTTTATTAGTTACTCGGATTTATCGCTTAGCAACGTGAATCGAAATCTAAAATATTTTGAAGCGTGCCCGTTCCTAAACATAGGATTATAATTTAAATTCTGTATTTCATTCTACACTTAATTAAAGCCGATATTAAATTGATCGTTTCACATTAACTATTCGATCAACTTAAACTTGCTTTGGATCAGGTTACTCGATATATTATGCATTTGTATAAATTTAATTTATATTTAAATTAATGTTTAAAAACCGTAACTTAATACTATTTTGCTTTTGCAGTTTACTTTCTCAGATATTCAAAAATACAGGAGTTTGTTTGAAGATCCAAGTCCAGTAAGACGAAACAATTTTAAGTAGTTTATCTTATTTTAATATAATTCTAGCCGACTAAACAAACACAATTTTCAATTTAAATATAGAAAATACTTGGCTATACTTAAGTTATTTGCAAGGACGTGTTTAAAATGCTTTTAAATCGGTTATATGTGTTTAAAATTTTATAATTAGATGCTCAATTTGAAAATTTTTCATTGCTAGGTAATAAATGAACAAAATTTATTATAAAAATTAAACTTTTTAAATAAAAAGTGTTATAAAAATTATGTGATCATGACCCCAGTTACATTTCCTTTCATATATAGAGCGTTTTGAGGAAGTTGTGAGGAAAATAGTCATCGTTGTCTTCCGTCATTCTTAGTAAAATTCAGCAGGAAAATTCAGAGGATCTGGAATAACTTTTCAAAACAAATATACGAGTATTTACTTTCGTAATTATCGTATTATTGACGAAACTTTTTATGTAATTTGCTTGTATTTTTGTACATATTTTCTGTACACTTATTACAACGTGTAGTAATAAGTGTACAGAATTGTACATTTTTAATATTTATAAAATAAATTTTACAAACCTTACATTAAAAGTATTATTTAATAATTTGTATAAAATACCTGAACATTTGAGTAATATTTATATACAGGGTGTTTATGAAATAAGTTTCTCTGTTTAAGTCTATATCTAAAACTATTTATCAGTTTTACAAGAAATTTTCTGTTTCTACAATTGAAACCATGAAAAATCAGTTTCAAATGTTACCATCAGGGGACAAATTGACTCTTTACTTAATGTTAAAATCTGTAAATTACAATAGCGCGACATAATCTCCATTAAACACGAGCAAACCTAATGTTTCTAAAATGGAACGTTCAGAATTTAACAAGCGGGGTTAAATTGTTTCATTAGACCAATAGTTCTGCTACAGTTGTATTGAAGTGATTTAATACACTGAAAGCAATATGGAAGGAAAAGTCCGATTTTTGCAACTGGATTGCGAAAAAGGATTTTAAAATTCGAAAAAAACAAGTTCGTTGAACATTAAACCTGTAAGGGGTCGAAAGCCTGTTCACGAGCAACTGATAAAGAATATAGCAATATCGTTGATTGAGGACAGCAGTCGTGCTCGCGGTAATACAAGATCATTAGCTAAACCATCCTCAACAATTCACAAAATTGTGAAAAATATTACGCTAGCTTTTCAAGATGTCTCAGATTTAACAACTTTACTTTCTGATCCGGATGTTTCAGATATTTGCACTGTAGATATTAGCTCGGGATAAGCTACGAGTGATTGGACATGTTAAATTCTTTAGATAGATGAAGTTCATTTCCATTTGTTTGGTGCCATTAGCACCCACGATAGCAGAATACGGGCTGAAGAAAATCTTCGCGAAACTAACGAAATACCGCTGCATTCTCCAAAGATTATTATTTGGTGCAATTTCACGTCTTCGTTCATCCGTTGGACCGTTGTTTTTTAAATTTTATTTATTTATTTATTGAAGAACTAGACCGAGAGGCCATTTTAAGTACTGATAACCGATACGCATCTCCACTGAGAAATTACGTAACACCAGCACCTCAACAGAGAGAGTTTGTTCAGCCGTTCTTATGACGGATGGAGCTCCTTCACACATTGGAAAATCGGTTAAACAACCGCTAAAGAAGACATTTTCTGAAAACCAAATTGTCAGTGTGATTTCTCTACAAACTAACTCGTTTGCCCGATCTAAATTCATACGATTTTTGTTGTGGGGCATTTAAGGATGTTGTCTATCTTGAAGACATAAAGACATTAGTGGAACTAAAACAAAGAATATTGCATATGTCCTAACATTTGTCATGATACTTTGCCAACAACGATATGCTATCGTCCAGCTTCAGTGTCAGAAAGTGGAGGCGGGCATACCGAACATGTTATTTATTGAATAATAAAAGTATTTAGTCATTTCTATACGATTTATTTCAGTTTAAAGCTCCAATTTTCCCCTAATGGCAATTTTTGAAACTAAATTTTTTTCTATAAATATGCTTTTTATACTGTAGTTTCAATAACAGCCTATATACTGAAAATTTCTTGTAAATTTGATAAGTGATTTTGGCTTTAGATTTCTCTAAAAAGGCATACTTATGGACAAAGTATTTTACAAAGTTATTAATCACATTAACAAAAATCCTTTCTGTTTTATTTATAACCTAAAACAGTTTATAAAAAATATAAACTTTATAATTAAAAATTTTTATTTAATGTTTAAAAAATGTATTTTTTAAGATTTAAATTTATTTTTGCTTCATTGTAACTTGTATAGAGCAGCGGTCTGCAACCTTTCTCACCTCACGGACCACTAAAGTCACAATTTTGAATCCCGCGGACCATTATCATGAATTTTTTTTTAAACGATACAAAATCTGTAGAATAATGATCATAAAAGTTCAATTTTACTACATTAATATGAAACGCGCATGTTTAATTATAACAAATTAATGCAAGCCTAAACTTCATTGCTACTTGTTTGAAACAAGTTTATGGATTCTTCGCGCTTTTCCACGAGGACGACAATCGCATTCACAATATTGTTTGTTGCTTATTATTTATTGATAACAGTCACTTCGTTTTTGGTTTTAGAATCAAATAAAAAACCCCAATGAGTGAAAAAAGCAACTAAGCATTTTGCATTTCTTTCGTAATACTTCACGTAACCTTCGGTTGATCGATGTTCAAACTTCTCTACGGACAACCCAAATTTTCTCGCGGACCACCGGTTGCCGATCGTTGGTATAGAGCATTCATTCATCGAAACGTAACTATCGCAAATTACGATCGGTTATTATTTTGAAAATAAGTGCAAACGTATAAACAGTGACCTATTTTTGCAGATAATTTTTCTATATTTTTAACCTTCTATTCGTAATTTAAGTTATAAGAATTATAAATAAAAATTCATATATTTTACTTACCGAAGGGCTTAAAAGTATAATTTTGCGAAAATAATTAATATACGTTGTGTGATTCATACGTTCCGATATATATGTCATTTAAAACATTTAATTATAATGATACAATCTTAGAACTTGTGGCAATTCTATTATCTAAAATGTTAATCGACGACCTCGACATTAATTTATATCTTTTTTCAAATTAAAAGAGCTAGGCTATACCTTCTCCACGTAATGCTATAGGATAGCCTTCATTAAATTAAAATTATGAGGTTATTTTAATTAATATTGCATATTTACATCGACATCAAATAAAATAAATGAGAATACAGTACGGTCGCGCTAATTCGAACTAATTGAGACCAGTGGTAGTTTGGATTAACGGAGATTGGATATGTTGCTTACGCTTTGAGGCCAACTTTTACTGTTGTAAGATACTTTACAGCAAGAAATAATGGTTAGAATTGTTGTTAAGTCAAACGGGCTGACAGAAAGAATGAGTAGCAATGGTCACAGCATGTGACACGTGAGCCAAATTGAAAAGTCCATTAATTTGGTTAGGGAAATGGTAGAAACTGTTCGTTTTAGTTCGATCGTACTGTATTTGCAATACATATTTATAAAATATCAACAAAAAGGAGAGAGCTCGTTTCCGTTGCGAAAGTTCCCTTTTGATATTGCATTAGAAATTGTCGTGTAACTGCACAGAGATGTATCGTAATTGGATGATATTTCCTGACTACATGACATAACTTTCAATAACTTTTATCTATAAATTCGATAGCGTCTAAAGCAGAGTGTATGTGAAAAGCACAATGCAATAGGCTATACAATATATCGACAAAGTAATCAAATACCAAGTATTTTGTTCGAAGAAAACCCCTTTTTTTCGCTGTAAGTTTGTTCAGAAGTCGTTGATATCTCTGTTAAGTAGCAGATATCATTAATTTGAGAATAAAAAAAATTATTATAGATAGCTTGCTTTCTTTTTGATTACGTTGAGTTTGTGGATCTTATCTGAGCTTCCGTTATGATGATCTAATAAATCTAACTTGGAAAATACATCTTCCATAAGCCCTAAACTATATTTTGCAATGTCTATATAAAATAGCGTATTCAGAAATCTTTAAAGAAAATTGTAAGTCTACCTGAAATACTCGGCATTACTCAGGAAAACCCCTCCAGAAAGTCGTTGCTACACCTTGCGCATCCCTAAATCTTCCTCTATCAATATATAAAGAATCTGAACCAAACAACAAATAATTTTTTGTTATTCATATTTCGCGCTGTCTATGAAGTTGGTACATTTTTTTAAAATTCTTGATTCTTTCCTCCCTGTACGCACTAAGGTCTTTTTTTACAGGACATCGTTAGTTCCATTCGCCCACAATGGAGAGGCCAAGTGATGAGAAAGGAAACCCGACCTCATCGGGTATAGTACAAAGTTAAAATTATGCGCGTTACGAGATTTTATTTAAAAAGTAATCTTTATATTATTTTAGACAGGCAGTTTTAAATGTTGCCGGGAAAATTAAGCAACTCGTTGTTGGATTTTTAGGATTGATACACGATGAAAAATGCAATCGGTAGAGCTTAGAATTGACATTCACGGCTTGGAACCCGGGTTCGAATCCGGGGCCAGCAACTTTCCACGAAGTTTACATCTGTGATCTGTCCAGGATATGTCGATATGAAATAAGAGTATATAAATATATATAAAGATATAACCTATATGTAAACATATAAACATAAAAGTGTAACGGAAGTCATTATGGGAGGTAATTTCATTAAAACAAAATGTATGTAGAAAACTTAATTATTACTGTATAAAGTTTTTAATATATAAGAATTTAACTAATTAAAGTTACATTTAAATATATTTTTGGAGAATATCTAAAAAATCAAATTTTATCGATTTACATGTGAAGTAAGACATTGATCACTACCAGTGTCACATGTCACGTGTCAGCTATATATAATGTATAAAATATTAGATATAAAACAAAAACAAAGTCAAATGTATCTAGAAATCGATTAAACAAAGTCTTATGCGTTTTTGCTTTAAGCGATTACGGAATTAGGTCAATGTAAGTCAAATGAACGAATCAAACTTGTCGATTATTAACCTTAGAGTCAAGGCCGTGCACACTGGGAGTTTTAATTCTTCCATTTGGGAGAATTAAAAAAGAAAAAAAGCTGAGATTAAACAAAAGAAGTTTTGGTTTATATTATTTCTAAATGTTCAAACTCATAAAGAAAAAATTATATATAACTTATATAATTCAGTACGTAATATATACTATATATGAAATAATCTATTTTTCAGAATGTAAATGAAAATTATTAGTATATTTTAATGAGATATGTAAATTATTTCATTATAGTAGAATATTTCGTATAACTTGTATATAAAAGTAATTTTTATTTTCAAGGAAATAAAATATCGAAATTCAAACATAATACAGTAATATGAACTGTCAGTCATGATTGATCTATATATACTCAATAATGTTAATGCAAAATATATTTTTAATGATTAAAAA